TTCTTCATTGCTTACTAATCTGATTACCTCTCAAATTCGAAAGTCTTAAGTGACTTGTTAATACGAATATTTAAAAAAATAACATAAATAACAAACTTTTATTATATATAAAAACCTAATAATATGCTTTAATAGCTGTTGTTTAATATTGTAATTATTGACAGAATAATATCACTTTCATCACTTCTAAAATTTCCCTTTAACTTGGCCTTCATAATATATAACAATTTTTATTAAACTATTCATTACATACTTTGTTAAAGTCAATGTGAAATTACATGACCTTATCGTTACAAAAAGGCTTGCTATTTGTAATTATAACAATTGTAAAGTATAATACGGAGCAACTTTGTAGTAGACGTTTAAAAAGTATTTGATGGTTGAAAATTTACTTAGTACTAAAGTTGAACAGATAGCTAGTGTCCTTCAACATACTATCTATCGATATTGCGAGGACCCATGAGATTATAATGACATCAATCATTCATTGTGAAAAGCAACGTAACGTAACCTCAGCCTATTTTTTTATAACTATAGTATCTTCCAAGCTCAAAGTCATTAATATCATTCAAGATCAGACTGTATATATGTATTTTTTTACTAAAAATATAAATGAACTAAATTTTCCTTACCTTTTCGTTAAAAGACAGAATTTTTTATTTGCATAATATATTATTATATGTACAGGTATGTTTGGGCACGTATGCGCGTGTGCGTGTGTAGGAAATGTATAATTTGTACATTATAGTTTAAAATATATTATAGACTCATGTGGCAGAATATATTATGTGCGTGTGCGCGCGCGCCTATGCATACATTGTATTATTATTAAATTAATGGAAAATGTTTTGACATGTCTTAAATCTTAATCTTCTTTCTTATAACTTAAAATTTATATAATTATTTGCCCTAAAATCATACGGACGACAACATACTTTTATATTATTTATGTTATTTCATTTAGTTTTTAATTAAATTTACATGTATAATTTAAGCGAACACATATCTGAAGTTAAGATAAATGAAAATCGAGTTAAAATATAAAAAATTACATTCTAAAAAAATAGGTGTATTTTCCCTCGTTATTTTATAAGTTAAAAATTTTATAAAATTTCAAACTCTTGGATAATTATTTAAATGTCAGTTCAATTAGTATTTCAAATTATTAAAACTTCTAATAACTTTTACTGATATATTTTTTGCCTTTTTGTCTCCATATTCAAATATACATATCTGCTTCATTAATACATTGAATTATAAATTAAAGAAATTAAAACATCAATTATCAATTAAATAATTAATCAAATTAATACTTTATTAATGAAAAAATTAAAATAAATTAAATATACTTCAATAAATTTTGTTTATATAGTACACGTTTGTAATTAAATTTATTATTAATTATCTTTTCATTTTCATTTTTATTCTCTTTAAAATTTTATTCCATATTTTTTTATACTAAAACAAATATACTTAGTTCAATTCAATTCAATGCACATTTTTAGTTGCTTTAGAAAATTTCTCAAATGTTCTCGTTTTCATACATATTTTTCTACATCAGTTTATTTCATACTACATTATTACTATTTTAGACAAGACAAACCTAGTTTTCTTATTATTTCAACCGATTATGCTTTATATTTAGGCAAAAGGACAAACACTAAATAATTATATTAGAAATGTTTTAATTGATATTCATATACATATATTTGCTTAATTAGTATAATTTTTTAATTGCTATTTAAGATATTAATGTTTGTATTTTATATTAATTATTGATATTATTTATGTGCATTGTTCTAAGATTTTTATATTTTTAACATTTTTATTAGAGTATCTATTATGATTTTCGATCTTTCATTATATTTTCTGACATTTACCGTGCTTTTCTCCATTATATTGATATTATTCGAGCATAAAGATTTACATTTACATAAATATAAATGAATATTTACTTTTATTGGGCAATCTCAACAGTATATAAAACTAATTAAAGATTCATAAATGTATTTGTGCTGTGAAACTGTGTTTTGCAACTTTATTTATTCATCTCTTTATGGAAATAATGAAATTCACTAGAATTCATATTTATTATATGATGAATTATCTCTTTTTATTCATTGATATTAATTTGAAATCATACTTATATATTTCAGTTTCAATTTACTTGGCACCAATGCGTTTCTTAGAAGACTAAGAATATCACATTGCTTACTCAAGAATAATTTATGTTAAAAATTAGATCGCGTTAGTAATTTATTTATATTTATAATACATAGATTTATCGTTGTAATTGAGTATTCTTACTTTTTGACTTATCAACAAACTAATTTTTTATCTCATCTAATTCTATCTTAAAACTAATTTAAAACTATGCATACTTTATGATTTCCATTCATTAAATAAACTCGTATCAATTTATATTTATAAAAGAAATGATAAATAAACTTAATGAAATACATTAAATTGTATATAAATCATTTGAATAATAATAAAGTATTTTCAATAGTTTCGTTGTCAACTTTTGTTTAATTTTCAAGTATAACTCTTTTTTTTTTTTTAATTAAGTTTTTTAAAAAAAATAACATAATTATTTAAATATACTCATGGACCTAACACGATTTACATATTTTTATGCTCTATTTTTCACTCTAAATGGGTAAAATTTATACTTGTATGCCTACATTGAGGAAAACTTTAAAGTAAAATTGTGAATAATCTTGTATAACTTTTTACAATTTTGATTCTTTATAGTCTTTTATAAGGTATTTCTTATTTTATCATTCAAAAATATAATTAGAAAAATTTTTAAGACTTTGTTGTATATTTGTAATATAAATAATTGTTTGGGATAAATATTAATATTTGATGTGACGTACAGCAAGAAATGTTAAAATATTTTGTGAATAAGAAATTTTTTTTTAGATTTTTCTTTGTATTTAAAATCTCTGCCTCTTATGTTATTTCATTAATCTTTTTAATTAACACAAATGATAAGAATAATAAATATTACATACAATTTTTTTAATACAGTTTATAAGCATTTTATGATTTTCCGGACTAAGTATTAAATTTGTAACAACGTTTAGAATTTAAACATCTGAAAACTATTGATTGTAGTTTTAATATTGACAAAAAGCTCAGGAATATTATCAAAGAAATTAAGGATATTAGGATAATTTCCATAACTCTTCATTCTTATCCAGGATATAATATATCAATAAGAATTATAATCGTGAATTGAGTGTTACCAGTCTAGACAATTGTTAGCAGAATGATTGAGGAATTTGAATTTGCTTGGAAGTAAGATGGATAGAAAGAGTATTTGCAAATATAATTTACCAATATATCATTACCATTAAAAATTACTATGTAAAAAACGTTTCAATTGCCAAATAATTCGGAGATATTAATGATTCAGTATCAATTCGTTATTTAGGATAAACATTAAATAATTTTATTGATTAATTGAAAAATTATTTAGATAAAAAGTAGTTAAATTAGATTTATTATAAATTCGTTAAAAAAAAAAAAAAACACTTTTTCATCACAAAGACAATACGTTAATTTATTGTCTTTCGAACTAAAAAGTCTCTATTAGATTCACAAAAATTTACCTACTACAATTGTACTTTACTCTGTATAAATTATTAAAATCATCTTGATTAAATCACATTCTAATATATTATTAGTTCATAATAATTTTATACGAAATTGCAAATTAGTTTTTATATGTAGGCCAAAGCGGATATGTTAATTTTACATTTTAATCAAAATTTGTTCAATTTGTCATATTTTCTTTTTATAATTTACCTTACATTTTCATCAGAATATCATAAATTTATTTATGCAATTTGATAATCTTCATTAGTTAGTGAAATTGCAGTTTAAAGTTTGATTTGTTATCTACATGAATATGAAATTATAAATACGTTTAAATTAGGTAGACATTTTTAAGTATATAATTTTCTTTGTATTTTTTTTTTTTTTTTATAAAATTTCATTATTTTATTATGATGTTTTTTAAACTAATAATCTTTTTTTAAACTAAATAATTACTAGACACTTAACTATCAGCTTCCTTATCATAATATAATTATCATACTTTACAAATATTTTTGTTTATACATAAAATTATTATTTTATTAATGCGTGATACATCATTTTTATTTATATACTTGAAAAGTTAGATCATATCTTGGGATATTAAAGCTTTACTGCCGCGTTATTCTCGTAATCTATTGTAATTTAAGAAGCGAATAGATTTATAAAGTCTTAATATTAATGTAGAAAAAGGTGTACTAGTATTATTGCGACAGTATGAATAAAAAAAATTCTTGCTTTGTTTATAAAATATAGATAGATTTTTCATTTCAATAAATTTTATTCTACACGCTTTTTCTCATTACGTTGTGACTTTCACGTCTTTTATAAGGGGCGATTAACTATTATTACATCAGATATGAAAAATAGATAAATACATATAGCATTAAATTGATATAGTCAATAACTATGAGTAATATCTACCAGAATTAATCTCAGTTCCTGTAAGAATGCCAAAACTATAGTCATTTGTAATTGCATTGGGAAGTTTGTACTATTACTTTAATAACGTCATCGTAACTTTACATAGCAAATTATTTTACGTATTAAGTATCCAACTACTATCGACCATTTTATGTTACTCGCTCACGTGCTCACAATATATAATATTATGTTATAGTTAAATAGTTTTGTAATAAATTATATATTTAATAATAAAGATCTATTCTTTGGTAAGTAATTTGTTTATCATTTTTACAATGTTAAAGGAATTATTTAGATTATCTGATCGCTGCTATTATTAGCCTGATGACTTATATTTTAAAAAATTGGAATGTCATATTGTGAGCGTTGAGCCTTACAGCCATTGTATTAATGAAACAATGTCAATAAGGTGGCTTCGCTGCGGAAATTGAACGAATCGAGCGAAAAATAAACAGAAAATACAGTTCTCTTACCTGACAACGTGCTTGTGCCTTTCCACCCAATACTTAATGGCACTTCTTACGAGCATCTCTTGCTTTTTCGACAAGCCATTCGGCCCAACGCCCCCATTGAATGTTGTGCCGGCAGTGGGCCTGAATGTAGCTGTAAAATCCTGTCGATTGCTGTAAATACCACGCACATCAACGTCAACGATGTTGTCGCCGTTGCCACTAGGCTGAACCCCTTGGGTGTCCCTTAAATGATCGGCACTGCCAGCCTATTTTTGCAAATGAAAAAGACTCGAGTTGAATGCAGATAAGGATCCATCAGCTGCCAGCAACGAAGTGCTGTACCATCCTAACTAGTCAATGTTATCTTTAAGAGCGATATGGGGATAAAAGATATGACTTACGGGGTGCAATATTTAATATGTATGTTACCGTTATTACGTGTAAATTTATACGATATTTAATATTGGCAATTCATTGGCGTAAATGCGTGACATTGGGTATAAAAAAACATCTTTGGCGTGGCGAATGAAAAGAAGGAGAAAATATTGAATGAATAGAATACGGAAAATTTAAAGCTATCGAGTGGGATTAGTTGAACGATGCACAATGCAGTAAGTACGTTATGCTGTTAGTTATCTCATTTGGTAATGCGTTTAATTTTGCATGCTCGATTGCTAAATATTTCTAATGCTTAATTAGTTATATATTCGTTCGGCGTTATAAATGCATTTGGAGTATAAAAGAATTTCAGTTTAAATTAGAAATTAGTTTGAATTAGAAAAGATAATATAATATTTGATAGATGATTGGATGATTTGCTTGATTGTTTAAGAGACTTTAATAAATTTCGTATTATAATGATAAATAATATTTTGATTGTTAAGTATTCTTACTAGACTAACTGATGATTATTATGTTTATAAGACTTTAAACGGACAAAAAATACTACTAATTATTATACAATATGAATGTCAATTTAAAAAAAAAAAACAAAAGCTATTCTAAGCTAACGAATTTTCTTAGTATAAGAATTTTAATAACAATATATCGAATGTAGAATAGTTTATAAATATATATTTTATAAATGTATTTTATAAATAGATAGCATTGTAAAGTCCATTGAAATGAGTAAGTGAGTAAGAGAAGCAAAAATCTATAAACAAAATATAATAAAAATTGTTGAGAAGAATGCTTCGATAAATTCCAATAAATATTATCAAATATAAAATATAAACAAAAAAAAGGATTAATAAGAAATTTTTTAAAGTTCGTAAAAACATTGATTTTTCATTTAAGTGGTCGAGTATTCGTTTCATGGTTTTTATAAGTCTTTTCGGTTCGTCAAATCTAATAACTTTTATACGCCTATTCATAGAAATACTATTAAAGTAACATGATATTTATAAAATTAAAAGAAGCCATTCGTGAGAAATTATTGAATTTATGAGATTGTTAATTATCTTCTTGTAACACCTTTACAAAATTGTTTAATTTAATGTTGTGGTAACAAATAAAACATACATCGAACGAATTCGTTGATAATAATTCGTCTTTCAATTCTATCTCTACATTCTATTCAACATTTTACAAATTCTATGACCATACTTACGCTATTATAAATAAATATATACGTTATTCATGATTTGACTTTACGAATGATTTGCCACGATATATGCTATTTTATTTGGAAATCCAATCGGCGGAGCATAAAACAACAATTTATTTTATAAAAATTAAGGCCACGCTAAAGTAGCTTGTCAAATGGTTATAATTTATTTGAACAAATTTTTACGTTGTTAATTTTATCCACGTAAGACCATTTATTTCATACCGCACACTATACATTCGACATTTTTCAAATATAAAAATAATTTATGCATCCGCATAAATGGAATTTTTCAGAGAATTCGCTTGAAATGTAGTGAAAAGGAAAAATCCTTATGTAAGAAAATATTAAGCACAAGGTACTTTATATTGCGTTTGATTTAAAAAAAAAAAAAAAAAAAAAAAAAAAAAAAAAAAAAAAAAAAAACAACAACAACAACAAAATAATGACAAAGATAAAGAATCGATGTGTATACCTTGAAGAGTTCACCGCTGTTTGGTACGACGGTATCGAGGGTGGCACTAAGTTCCATAAGTGGTTTCATGATCGCTTTGAGATGCTGAAGTTGCTCGCAGGCGAAGAGAAGCCAAGAGCAGAAGAGCACATCGAGGGAGTTTGAGATGGCCATTACAATGGCTAGATAATAGAACTGGTAGAAGAGAGAGAAAACGTGACCTGCGCCGCTCATTGCATTCCACGGATAGAACGTACGTATCATCAGTCTTGGAATCTAAATTAGGAAAATCGGCCAAATATTCAGTTCGCCTCTCGTCTGCCTTAGGTTTACATACAAAGTCGAATAAACAAGCTCGCGTCATTGTCATTAGTATCATTATTATTATAAACATTACGAGGTGAATGTGTAGATTTAGTTACGCATTAATGGTCAAAATGATACAATAGAAGCGGTCGAACTCGATTTATTAAGGAAATTTACTTATTATGATAATACTCTTTGAGTAATGGCATTGAGGTAATGTTTATCCGAAAGTCTCATCGAATTATAGATCTGTCAATGAAACTTGATCGATAATTATCGGAGCATCTTATGATTTTTAATTCTTTTTGGGCAATTATTTTTACAAATTCCTAGAGTCTTCCTGCAATAATACTGCTTTTGTAAAAGTAGAGAAGTGTTTCAAAATTGTAATTTAACAATGACTGATATGACGACGAAACTAACTGGAGTAATTGTCGTTTCATTGGTCTCGGGGTCAATGATCCTTTTTACTGACTCATCCATGAAGGTAATACCCGTCCAGGAGATGACTGAGAATACAGTCGCCGCTGCGACGCAAAATAGCAGCCGTCTCATCTTGGTGATAGCGAGGGAATGATAGCGGGCGTTGCTCTCGGCGAAAAGCGGATGACTGTTGGGATTATTCCAGATGGCTAAAGTTTTATAGAACATCTTACTCCGTATTGGGAAATAGATGACTTTGACAACTGGATGAACGAAGAAGAGCATTGTGATTGTATTGGCCGTGAGGTCATCTACATCGTCACTTTCCATCATGAGGTTTACGCCCATTAAACTGTATTGCGCCAATATCAGAAGAAGCGTCACCTACGAGTCATGGGAAAATCATCTTTATTAAAATACTCTTTCGATGCTCTGCTAATTTAATGTATTTGCTATCATCGACTCATACGACATCGACTCACGTGACGAAGCTGTTGATATTTTTCGTTACAAGAAAGCCAACATACGAGGCAATACTTACGACACAATAAATCTTATGAGGAAACTTCTTTCCTTCGCTGTAGTAATTAAAGAGAAAATGTCCGACACTCTGCATCAGCCTGATATTGGGCATGAGGTCTGCCACGAGACCCTGTTGCTTTACTTTCATCATCTGCGTAAAAATAAAAACACGAAAATGCAATAGCAACATTGAAAGGCGGTTACACGAAAAATTTTCAATTATCACTGAATTACCGAATACTAGTTTATATTAATTCAATCATATATATATATATATATATATATACATATATATACATACATAAATACGTACATATGAGTATATATCAAATATTCAATAAGAAAGTAGTAAGTGCGGTAAATTATAATTTTACTTTTGTACAGTTTCTTATTTCTTTATTTTTCTTCGATATATTATGCGCATAGATACCGCATTAAAAAAAATTATTATTTCTATACTAGAGAGTAAAGCTACCATGAACACAATTAAAGCAATTTAGAGTTATATTATTTAGTATTAGGTATTCCGAGGTTTTTAGAAAAATTATTCCGTTTTTATTAAAATATTGATTTTTCACATTAAATAGAAAATAATTATAATTTATTACAAATATATATTTGAAAATAATAGATTATAATAGATTTTAGTATATTTACAAATATTTATAAATTAACGTTAGTGAAATCTAGTCGACTAGTTATTCGATTATTAAGAATTTTCTGAAATTTAATGAAATTTTTTTCTTTATACAAATGAATCATTGAAGTAATAAATTATTAATTAAGTATTTCGTAAACTTTTACGTAAGAATAGTATTTTAGTCTTTTATCAAATATATTTTCTCGAAATTTCATGTATATCATAAAACATGTTCCTTATATTAATAATAATTTTATTCAAAGATTAAAAGCAAATATAAACATATTGTTGTTTGTATGTAAATGCAAGCTCAAATCCATTTTTTATGTTGTATATTCATAAACTTTTGATGTAATCTGCATTAAAAATACCTTATTACGAATTAATTGATAATCTGGAATATTGCAAAAATCTGGATTAATCAGAATTTGTTATATACATTGTAGAAAGAAATTACTTACCGCAAGAAAAACGAGTAGGCAATAAGCATTAGAACTCTATATATTGATAATAATGTGAGATAATGATAAAGTAACGTGAACCATAGAACTTTGTAAAAAAACTATTATAATGTAATTGAATTTTTCAATTATTTTCAATGAGATCTTATTGGATAAGTTACTTTACGAATTGTCTATTATCAATAATGTATTATGAATGATAGCCGGAAAAATTACAATTATCACCGTAATGGTAATAAACGTTATTAAATGGAAGGATTTGCTTATTCGTAAAATTTTTAGGAAATCGAAATGTAAAGCATTATCAGGCATGGAAAATATTATATCTACTGGTTGATTTATTCTCAATTCTGAATTAACTTTCATCTCCTTATGTTCGACAATAGAATGTTTAAATGTAAAATATTTTAATTATAAGTTACATAATGATATATTATTTAACGATTGATAGAAATCTGAAAAGCCATTTCGATTGATTATTTTCTTTGGTTTAATCCCTTAAGAAAATTTGAAATTTGTCAACATAACTATTATTAGAATTAGAAAATGTAATAAGCACCCTGGTAAGTTCTTCCTACGTAAGGAGATTATTATAATTGTAAAATACATTTTCCATGATTTTCTTGCTTTCTTTTTTTAATCATATATATGATCATATATATATATATATATATATATATATATTCTCTAATTATATAATAATATTATAGTTTTGTGTACTGTATTATTATATAAATCGTATGACAATGCCGATTGAATGACATAAAGCTTTACGGGGTGACTGTTGATATAATAGCAATCGTCGTGGGATCTGAAATATCATCGACTGCAATAACATTAGTTCAAATCGAGTATACGACAATTGAAAATTATGCTTTGAAAGTAGCACTAGTCGCATCAAGTCGCTTATGAAAGTTTATACCACGATATTGAATAATTAGTTTTAATCGATGCATTTATGTGTACGAACACGTGGAAAAGTACTTTTAACGCTCATAAAGTAATCAAAATACATCAAAAAAAAAAAAAAAAAAAAAAAAAAAATTAAAAAAAAAAAATCAAAACTAATGATGCGGCTAATTGTATAGGGAATAAATTCGTTTTTTCGTGTTTAATGTCCTTTTCATTGGTCGAGACTTTGAAGAATTTTATTTCAAATTCTGAGCAAGAAAATATTTAACCTTTGACGGCTTATGCCACAGTCCTTGATCGACTCAGGGATATAAGCAAGTTCAATTACATTTAAATTACATATGTCATTGCTTAGAACGATCGAATGCAAAAATTTAAAGTTTAATGTAACGGAGCATATGAATTTCTGTTGTGACATTTTAATAAAAATCCAAGGCTTGTGTATTGCGCGATTAATAAGAATAATAACAATGTATAATAATCGAGAAAATAGGGAATTCTATGAGCTATTAAGATTTTCATTATAATATTTCTCCAAAATGCCAGAATATTAAACGGAAGGGCACGGCGAGGCGCGATGATTGAGTTAGTTATACAAATTAAATGTAATTTACATAAAATTCTCCTCTCTGCAATATTAAATTCGCTTAATTATTTCTTTATGCTATCCCGTAATAGACAGAATTATGGAATATTATCCTTATAGCATTTATAATATATTCATGATTATAGCATTGAACTGTAAAGAAAAATGTACCCACGATAATAATACTTAATGGGCCGCTTTCTTCCTTCTCCCGTGTCTTACCAAACTATAAATAAAGGAAATAACTGTCGAAGCTCTCGAAATTCTTTTCAAACAATAAAGCCCTAAAGGTAGTCCCGATGAGCCTAAAAAATCCACACGAATTACAAGCGCAATTCGCATAATTATCAAAGTAATCGCTTGAATGTGACAGAAGCAGGAGCATTTGGCAGCGCAACCCCGATCGCGAGCGCGTCCTCCTCAATCATCCACACCGGCGTCACATCACATCATCCTCATTCGCCATCATCTTATTAAGAACGGGGTGCAGCACCGAAATTCCCCGCCCAAGGTCGTTCCCTAAGGGAGCGAAGATCGAGCCGACGATCGGCGGGCGCAAAGCTCCTCTGGCCTACCTTGAAATCCTGGAGAGAGAGAGAGAGATAGAGAGAGAGAGAGCGACGGCGTGCAAGTGAGAAGCGAGAACGCAGCGCGTCCTTAACGCCCGGGAGCACGCGCGAGTCGCCTGCAATCGGCTGGAGCACTGCACTCACGGCACGCCGAGCACTACTATCGCCGTCGTTCCCCCGAGCATAGCATCCCCGACCGCACGCGCGCGGTCACTCACGGTCACACACCTGCGGCGCCTCCACTCTCGCCCTTCCGCCGCCCAGTGGGACGGTGCGCCGTGCATGCGTTGCCGAATCAAACGTGGACCAATGGTCGCCGCGGAACCGGCAACCGCGTCGCTCCCCGCGTCGCTCAATTATTCAGGAGCAACGGCGAGTCTGTGTGCGTGCGTGTCTCTCTCTCTCTCTCTTTCTCTCTCTCTCTCTCTCTCTCTCTCTCTCTCTCTCTCTCTATCTCTATCTCACTCTCTATCTCACTCTTCGTGTTTATCTGTGTGCGTGGGTGCGCTCATTTGTTTGTTTGTTTGGCGGTGGTGGCGGTGGGAGGGGGAGGGGGTGGGGCGTATGGTTGGGGAAGGATGGAGTAGGAGGTGGACGGTGAAGAGGGTGAGGAGGAGGAGGACTCGAAAGACACCGAGTGCCGACGATTTTCCATTAGGCTTTGGCGAGCCTCTCCCTACCCTTAAGAGCCTCCCTCATTATTAATTGTCTTTTAATTCCCGTTGCGTTTTATTATGGATATCGATGTCTCTGTGGCTGCGGTTACGAAAATTCCAGGCCCTCTATGTCCGCTCGGCTCGGTTTCTCGCCCCTATTTATTGTTTATTGTTTGCGTGGCTAGGGGTAGCCGGATGATTGCCACGGCGCTCTATGAAGACCGGCAGAGGCGGAGGCGACGAATGATAAGAAGATTATTAAAAGAATAGTTCCATTGGTTAATCGACAAGAGTTGTCCTCGCATTTTCTAACTAAGGAAATATCGATGATGCACCGCTAACGGTTACGTTACGGCGTGACTTTAAACGATTTTCAACTTGCGAGAATTAAACGATCAGCCCTCCATGCTCGGGGATCCATGTAGTAACAATAATGAAATGGAAAGTGTGGGCATTTAGCTCCATTCATTACATAAATTCCAATCATATTTCCAAAATATTAAATGATTCACTTTGTCCCATATAGCTTGCAATTTGGCTGAAATTTTCTTATACAAAGCTTTTATTATACTATTATTTATATTAAGAAATTAAATCTTTGAAATTCTGAAGGCTAATTTGTGTTGTAGAAGTGACTGGTTAGGTTATTTTAAAAATAACGTCTAAATATCCGACTTCAATATCTCCAAGCGAACACTTTACATATGTAAATGCGATTCTCGAAATACGATTATTATTCCTATTTTATTTCATAAATTTCTAGCTTATAAACATTCATACATATAGACATTAGTCAATTAAAAATTAATATTCTTAATAATCGAATATGTGTTATTATTTAAATAATGATAGATAGATTTTTTAAATATTGTTAGCGTCTTTGAAAAATTATTCTTGTATTGAAAGCTCATATGGAAAATTAATTCTATTTATTTCATTAAAATGTAGTTATGTTAAATAAAAACTTTATTTTTTAATACATTCGCATTTTAAGACTTTCAAAATATTAATATGTCTGATGTAATTTTTTTTTAATTTGTATACTTTTATCGTAAATGAAGGAAGGACTTGTTCATTAGGAATAATTCATAAATATCGATCTTCCATTAAAACTCCTATTCTCTTTTATTACTAATTATCATTACCTAATTTTTAATGGTTCCTTGCTGAATAACAACTTCTTAATTACCTTTTACATTGTGAATTTCGTATTCTTTGTCCGTAATTTAAGAACAGAGATATTAATGATAATTTGGCATTATCTCACCAAGCATTTCGTAAATAAATAATAATAAATATTGTAAAAATTTAGTTTAATGAAGAAATTGGTATAATCAATTATTTGTATGTCTCTGCAAACGGATAAATAACAATACGATAATCTTAATTTTTAATCAGTTAATGACAAGAGCTTTTTTTAGGTACCGAAACTATAAAAATAAAATAATACATCTGTAATAATGTAATGCAATAATGTAATAACCCAAAAATTATTAGAAAATAATGATCTAAATTGTAGTACTAAATGCAAACATTTTTTTTATTAAAAATTTATAATGAAAAAAAAATTAAAAATATATGAAATTCAATGCACATTAATTCTTTTCGTATTTTACTATTAAATCAAAGAATATTTAAATTAAAGCACAAATATTGATAATTATAATTAATACTTTTTCCTATATAAAATATTGACTAATCAATCATGTGAATGAATGTTTATAATAAATAAATATAACGATGCAATCGAAAATCTTTAAATTCGTCAAATAATTATAATAAATTGATACGATAGATTTAGTTTCTTTTTGTCACAAATAAAAATTATTGTCGTTATCGATTATATAAGAAATAACGTTCTTCAACATATAATTATTTCATAGTTATATAATTGATCAATATCATTTAATATCAGTTTCATATCAATTCATATATAATTTGAAAGGAATTACTTTCTTTAGACGCAAATAACTCATAATCATATCGATATATTTGAACTATTAGAGCCTCTGAAATTTTGGTCAATAATTAAATTTGGCATACTAACGAGCATACCAATTAGTTTGCCCTAAATTTCAATTGATTACACGGCGCTTAATCGATATATTTAATAAGTGTTTCTTTAATAATTCATTTCTTCATGAAGTAAAGAGAAATTTCAAAACAATAAAGAACGACCAAATGAACGATGTAATGTATTCATTCGTATGTTTGTAGCATTGTCGATGACCATAATATGGAGTTTGTACTTTTAATGCGTTTTTATACCAAATCCATTAACATTAAAATTATTCCTAAAAAAAAAAAAAAAAAAAAAAAAAAAATTTAAAATTTTTTTATGCTTTTTTTGTTTTCCGTTGCTAAGCATCGTACAATTTTCTACGCCATTTAAATATAATAATTTATGCATAAATAATATAACGTTGCTGTAATTTCTTCATCAATAAAAATTTAATTAAACAGAAATTAACAATAATAAATAATAATTTTGTTAGGATTTTATATAATATAAAATGAAACGAAATAGAATTTCGATTTTTGTAAGTTCATTATGTATAATATCGATGAGCTTTGGTTTGTCAACAAATCGTACAGGTAAATGACATTTTATCTTTCGCTAACACAATTATTATTTTATATTTGACAATCGAGTATTCCCTTTCAACATACCTTCTAATGAATTATATTTAACAGAATTTTCAGAATGGAGGACCGTCACGGAAACAAATCAAGCGCCAGAAGCATTAAAGAAAATATCGATGAAGGATGTTGAAGCAGAAGTAACTAATGACAAAATAAAAACTTCAGAAAATGAGATATTATTAGATACAAAAAACATCACAAATAGTAAAAATTTGTTGAATGTAAGAAGGTTAGAGCTTTCTTTTATCGAAAAAAATAAAAAAAAAAAAAAAAATAAAAATAAATATTTGTATAAATTCATTGAATAATACATCAATATATTCTATTGGAACAATCTTTTCATAATTATCTAAATTATTTTTAATAATATTGAAACTTTTTTACTCGGCACGTTCTAATTTCATATGCATCATTTATTGATTTACATTAATTTTCAACTATATACGAGCTCAATAGATAACTTAAATTAAACAATTGTAAGTAACGAGGGGGGTAGGTAGATAATAGTTTTTCACGAATTTTATGTCAATATAATTTTTATATACATTAAATTAATATTACTTAACGTACTACTCATATTATTCTAATTTTATTTTCTTACAAGAATTATTTTATTATGTTCAAAGAAACTACGAAAATGACACAAATTTCATTACAAAAATACTTGCTGAATCGCAGCTGAACTTGGATGAACAAGGAAATAATAACGAAAAAAATATACACAAGAAGATCGAATATGGACCCCTAAACGTCATTTTACTACTCATTAACAAATTAGATGAAAGAAAAAATTTCCTAAAACTTAATTTTGAAACTTTACGGTCATTTTCATTTCAAGGACTTTTACAGGTTCTATCATAATTTAAAAATAATATTGACAATTTACTGATGTTAATTAAGTGTAGGACGAAATATTAAAACATTTTTTTTTTTATTTTTTGTACAAACATACCTTAGAGCTGCCCTAAGAATCCATTCGAATTTGAATTTTCTGATAAAGATGAAGATTGTGATTGCGAGGCATTATTTGGATCAAATATTGTCTCACTTTTATCCTGGGCACAGCATATAAAAAAAATGACCACCAGTATGAAAATTCTTACGAACATTCTGAAAGAATGGATAAAAAAAAAAAAAAAAAAAAAATTTACGCGTATTTTTTATTTTCATAGGTTCTTTATATAAAGTAGATGATATTGATGTGCAGAATACAGAAATGGAATTTGAAAAACATATAAATAGTTGGAAAAAATTTTGGCAAGAAAATTATTCAAGTAAATTGAAATCAAGGTTTTAATTGTTTATCTTATAAGTTTAGATAAATAATTTAATATAATTTCTATGTAAAATACGTTAGATTTGTTTGAGTAACGAATTTTTAATTATTATATAAGTTTTAAGTTTTACATATAATTTTCCAAGTTATGTATATGTTTTTTATGTAAGTACATCTAACAAAACATTGCATAATCTTTTGTATGAAATATAAATGTAAGAATACATTTGTATTTTCATACATATATAAATTGGCAAGATTTTAGTTAATAAAATTCTTATTTATTGATTTATCATTTGAATAAAAATTCTTCTAAAGTATCTATGTAATTATAATTTTCTTGAATGAATTTTTGTATAATTAGATTAGCACGATAGATAAATTATTGAACAAGAAGTTAATTATGAAATTTATTAAATAAAACGAAAAAAACTAGAATTTTGCAATTGAATATTTTTGAGAATTCCACGTGTTCTAATTATTATATTTAATGAACGCAATGTACACTTTCAAAACGTTTAATCGTTTTTTGAAATATAAAAACTTTGTCGATAATGTGTGCCGAGCTCGTAAACTTTATAAGATTTTATCATTTTTCTGCACAAGCACATACGCATCTAATAAAATATTAAAAATATTTTCAAAATACATTATGATTAATAAATTTTATATGATTCAAAATTTTATTTAGCAGATGAAATGGATCGATATACGCCGGATGATAAGAGTCAAATAAAAAAATTTAAGAAGATAAAGGATATTTTAAAGAAATTGAAAAGCGCATTTTTCAAAAACCTCAGCAACTTGAAAAATTATAGCAATTCAAAACAGCAGCGTAACTACCTATTCCTCGAATTAGCCTCTCGTATTTTCGAGGAGTTGACGATGTTACCTAATGAAAATGGTTATGTACTCGTAATTACGATGAACGCTGAAGAATTTAACGACATTTTTGAACTATTTCGTAATTTCGTAAGTTATGAAGACGATTTTTTTTAAATGCCCTTTTATAATTGCTTTCTCAATGACAATGTAGCTTACCTTAGAAGAAAAAAAATCAATTAATATTAAATTGCTAATTAGTTCTTAATTACTAATTAAATATTAATTTTCATAATTTTCATGAAATACAGCTTAATTTATTAATATATTAGAATATAATTTACAATAATCATAAGCATAATAACAAATAACTGTATAAAGTGTACAAAGAGTAATTTCAAATTTACTTTAAAGTTATAAAACGTATAAAATGCATGTAATAAGTCCTCATAAATCCTCAAATGATGTTGATAAACATTATTTTATTGTTTTTAAAATTGATATTTACCAAATATAATAAACATATTTGTACATAATTATTTTATAACATTACATGTATATGTACCGATCGTTCCAATATATTTAAAATGATATCTTCCATTAACAATTCTTCATTACTTCAATCAACAATTTTTCTGTTTGCTTAGTTCGATGAAAAGTCAGTTGCGTAATTTTTTGTCTTTATATTTGTCAAAATTTATATACACATTCTCTTGATGCACAAAACAGGAATTTAATTTTGCAGATAATTTTTTTTCGAACTCAACTTAGCTAAACTGTTTTATCGCATAAAATTTTCTACCAATCATACAATTATTATATTTAATCATTAAATTAATTAAACGTAACTTAATACAACTTAACTTTTATTATATTAATTAAATTAATATATAAAAAAACATCATATATGCACATTGTAAATTTTTCGCTATCCTTATTGCATACTCTGTTATTAAGTTTTGATAACGTTTAATTATTTTTAATTAATTAAAAATTATTATCTATATATTGTCACGTAAGTAAATGATAAAATTAATCTAAACGGACCGCGGGGCCTTAAATGTATCTTTTCTACGGAAAATGAAAGCTTCGAAAGAACAATAAACAAGACTCCTTTTTCCCAACATTTGCGTAACTACGCCATTTTCCTTTGGCGGAAGGTTATCACGTATTAGTTATCCACAATCGACTTATCAATTTAATATCGATAACAATTTAACAACAATTCCAATATTCTAACAGAAAGATAATCGCCTAATTAATTTTTCCTTCGCAGTGGTAGGATAAGTTGCATGGACTTTTAATAATTTAATTTAATTAAAAATTGTTTTAATTTGTATTTGTGTTCAGATCGGCGAAAGAATAAATTTTATACTTCCTTTACATTGATAGCAACAGCACATATTTCAAATTTAATATTTCTTATACAAAATAATATTTTGTCAAATATTGTTAAATAATGTTTATTATCGATAATACTGGAATGTCAAATAAGCTATAACAACAGAATATTTTTATGATTACGGATGATCAAAGGTCCAGTCGAAGAATACTCTGACGTTCGTGACGAGTACCTGTCCACGTGATAAGAGTAAGGCGGTGCGACTTTTCGCTCGAGGACCCATTTTGCGATCATTCGACGATATTGACATTCAGACACTATATGAATTGCCAAGCTTCATACGCACTCTTATCGATAACAAGGATTGTCATGGCTCGACAAGTAACTGTGGTCAGTTCCACTTAATTCCGCACTTTCCCCCATTCAATGTCCAACAACCAGCGATCAACGGATCAATCATCACGGACGACGAAATGGATGAACCACGCGAACGATTCCTCAGGAACGATGATCAAATAGATAACAAAGTTGAAGAAGTGAGTTTGCAGAACAATATTTTGAATGAAGTACTATCGAATTCTTGTAATTAAGTTATTAAAACATTACAAATTCTTTCATATAATTTACAATTGTAAAGATCAGATTGACTTAATGTTCGTGCATAATATGTTTTAGCTTCCATTTCGATCGGAGATAGAAGTTTAGAACTTGGATAGATAGTATTCATTTAATGTAGGAATAGATATTGATTTTTCGATTTATATAAATCATTCAATAACAAAATTGTCAGACAATTAGCATAATTCATTAAAAGTTATTTCATGCGTTATTATCAATTACAAAAAAAATATAAATAAAAATAATATGAAAAAACATCATATATGCACATTGTAAATTTTTCGCTACCCTTATTGCATACACTGTTATTAAATTTTGATAACGTTTAATTATTTTTAATTATTTAATTATTATACGCACGTAAACAATTATCAATAACAATAATTTGATTATTTAGCATTGAATAATGAATTTTATTCAATTTATACATAATTTAAGTAAGATGCTTTATAATATGTTTATTTTAGCGTCGAAAAATGTATTTTAAAAACAAAAAAAATATCGAAACATATATATATATGTTTAATTCTATATTAACATTTCATATAATATAATTTTCGTATATTTTTCTAATTATTATTTATGAGTAAAATATTTTGATTTACAATTACAATTTTTCAGAAATCAATCTTATTGTACAATTCAAAGGAAAAAGATTCTGAAGTCGAGGTAATTTAAAATTAAAACCTTATATTTTTTATATATTATCTTGTACTACATAATTAAGTTAAAAATATTCGAAATATTACATCCACATAATAAGTAAATTATAAAGTTAGAAATGTTCTGCTTAATGTTTATTATGAATATTATTCATACGTATGTAGTGCATTATGGTTAACCAAATAATTTATTTTATAGAAACTTCATGAAAAAAAAATCATTGCAATTAATGCTACGGAGAAAAATGTAAATATAAAGTTTCAATATAAGTAATTTAAAGATATTCTCATCTAATACTGAGCAATTATTTCAGAATACATTTTTGAATATAATAGATATACCGCCTAACATTGTCATTGAAAGAAAAATGGGAAATGATGCGACAACCAACACTTGCCATCGACTCACCTCCTACTCTACTCTTATCACTGCTGAAATTTTAACAATTATAACAATTTATACATTAAAATTTTAATTTTACATTACACAATATATATATATATATATATATATATATATTGTTAATCATAATTCTATATGAAATTGTCTAAAATAATTGAACTTATAATAATTAATACAATTAACAATTAAATATTTAATAACAATTAAAAATATATTAGTGTTTTTTATTTAAATTTTAATGCAGGTTAATTTGATTATGTAAATTCAATATTCATTAGGAATTTTGTTGTTTTTAGTTTTACCCCTACGTTTTATTTCATGTACATGGGTTTTACAATTCATATCGATAAATAGTAATGTACATTATTAGAATTTATCCATTATCCGATCAACTTAACAAATAGATCTATACTTGGTATTTATGTTATTTAGCTATCTTATGACTATTATTAATGGGCTATATCATGAATTATATATTGAAATTATTTAACGTACTATAGCATTACAATATTCGAATTTAATATAAATATTTTCTTTATTGAATTATGCGTTTTAAATATTTGATAGTAAATTTTTGAAAATTTTTTCTGATAAAAATTACTTGGTGTAAATATTTTTTTAACGATTTTCTAATTTGTTCATTACTATCCTTGTACAGTAATATTATTTATTTTACTTAATATATTATTAATTTATATATATATATATATATATATATATATATATATATATATATGAGAAATAAATAATATATAATATAACTTAATATACTTGATAAAAAAATAAGCTATCTAGGTGCCTTATTTGCAATGTCTTGAAAAATGATAAAGGAGAGAGGAATTTACTAAAAATTTTCATTTATGTGGTATTATATTTTCAGTTAAATTATTCTACGTTCCAGAAGTTACACTCTTACCTAATGTAAATATCTATGTATAATAAATTATGTACGTATTATGTTATAGTGAATTTTAGCTATTAAAACTATGAATACTTTCTCAAACATTTGTACATTTTCTAGAAAAGAAAATGAAATAAAATTCTATAATGTTGACTTTAAAAATCCCCGGTGCACAATTTACAAATTATTATTATATTATTATTTTCTCTTATGAATCTGCTATATATATATAATTATTAAATCAATAAATAAAAATGCAAATAGAAGTAAAACAATGAATGAATTAATTAATTTTCTACAACTCATTCCTAAGAAATTAACAGTTTCGTAAAACTAATGCTTCTGGTAACTTTGGATTTTTCATTTAGAAATTTTATTTTAAATACCCATTCCAAATATTGCAATTAAATGTTCGCACTAGTAGAGCCATTCTTCGATATTGGACGAGTATATTGAAATACAATATTGTCTTGTAATTAATAAATATGCATGTATTTTACATTTAAAATTGTGGCAATCGGAGAGAGGCACTTTATATTTATATATATGGTTCGTAAATTCAATGTTCTTTCGCAATCTGCGCATGCAGAGTCAGCGGAATGTTCCAAGACGCACATTTGCACCTACTTACATTATATATATTGATGATAAAAAAAAACTGTAATAATAATAGTGATACATGATGTTTTATTCTGGGCACGTACAAAAAAATTATCAATTTATCGTTCGCTATAGAAAAGAAAAATTGACCATAATTTTTCTGGTAATAATGCTTGGCTACAAATATGCAGTGTAGACTATATTTTCCCGTTTCCCTATCGAACAATTCAATATTTTATAAATATAATGATTAAGCTATCTAATTAAGAAAATCATTTGTACGTATGGAATTTAAATTTATGGATGAATGTGAAAAACATAAAAATGAAATTACATTAAATAGAATAAATATTAATTATCTGAAAAAGTTTGTTTGTCTACGTTGCACATTCGGTAGCTGAAATATTCCTCTATAGTTGGAAATTTATGGTGGAAATAACGAGTATAATTAATTTTGCATATGCAAATTTGTAAATTTATATAATTCATGTAATTCATATATTTAATAAAATTTCTATATGTATATGCCGTAAAATAGTGTGTATAGTATTAAAATAATTTATTTCAATAAAATTTAATGCAAATTAATTGAGCTTATTCATTTTTCTATATAAATTTATTATGCATGACATCAACGTTTCTACATAATAATCACCATTAATTTATTATTTATTATTTATTATTACTATCAATTATATAGAGAGAAAAAGATGTTGATATGTCAACAAACACACGATTATACTTAGAGATATACATTTAATTATGTATGAAGAAATTAAATTTTTTTATCCGTTGTTGAAGGTAGTAAGTAAAAGTATAGTAAGTAAACACCTAAGTACGTTAAATAATAATTTTATTCAATAATAATTTAGTAACTATAACAATAAGATCGAAATAAAAGTAAAAATACATTGAAACACAAGGAATTATTATTAAATTATATACTATTTCACTGCTATTATTCAATACTAAAAGATGTGGATTCGGATATCCTTTACAATTCTTCAACTCTGATATCCGTCAAAGTTCTTGAGTCTCTTCTTGTTTTTAAAAAATTGAAATATTTCTATATATTCTAGAATACTGAATTGTAAGTCTCCTCGTTAGAGATATATTTAATTCGCATACACTCGGAAAAGTAAAAAGTTTACGTTCCTTCTTTGGAATATCTTAAATTTATTTAAATAATAATGTTAAAATAATAATGTTATACCTTGTAACACTTAAATCCTAAAACAGTTAGAATTATACGATATATTTAAATTATTAATAAAATAGATTAATATGTATATTATAAAAAGTCTTGTTTTCTATAAACAACTTATATATTTCATTTTATTTATATTTTATCATTACTTACCGAGGATATACTGTGATATATATATATACATTGTCAGAATCTGAAAAAAATAGAAAGATATTCCATATACTTAAAATTTCGATAGCTAAATAAGTCTTGTTTGTAAATTTTTTAAACATGTTTTAGTATTTTATTATATATGAAGCCGTCCTAATAAATTTTTACAGATCTTAGAAATTTTTACATTTTGTAATTCATTGGAATTATTATTTGTAAATTTAGTACTTTTTTTTTATTATAGTTTTCAGTATTTTAAAACTTGTTTGTATATGTACAATTAAAATGCTTTCTCTAACTACGAAACGAGAGATATTATATTCTGATTATTCTAGATAATGTGTCTATTCGACGAAATTTTTATTATTTTATATTACTAGCTAATTTGTATGAATTTTCTTTTACGTACATAAATTTTACTGATATTATCGCAAAGAATTACGCTTAGTTAATTAAGCATAATTAAATTTCATTTGAACGTTGGTCCAGCGACTAAATACAAACAATACACGAATTCATTTACGTTATATTTATGGTCCACCTACTCACTTTCATGGCCATGAATTTAATGAAATATTCATTTCCTCAACTGGCCTCCTCAACATACAAAATATTTGAATTCATATGATAAAAATCCAATACACGCAAATAAATTTTATAATTTATGCTAATTATAATAAAATGCATCTTTTTATATGAGAGGCCATTCCACTATGAAATTCTCAAATACAGTGGAATTTTAATATTCTTTTCATGTATAAAAGAATGTGATAATACAGTCAGAGTAAACAGAATTTTGAAAATAATATAAATTACTTATTTTTGTCGAAGCGATAAATTATCGAGAGTCTTCAAAAAGTAATTTTGCACGATTTAATCTACTTGAAGCATAAATAAGATAGCATTATTAATTATTCTTAGTGCCATTATAGTAATGTCGACGATCAATGAACTTTACGATGAAATAAAAAATAGCTAATGTTTCGAGTAAAATTAACGAATTATCCTTTCAATTTTAATTTCTATTATTAAAAGAATAGCCTGGCGAGTGGCGGGGATCAGGGGAGGGAGGTTAATTTTGATACTTCCTCGTAGTATAAACGATAACTAGCTATATGTGAATTGGTTTGATATTAATAGATCGGATCTATTAAATCGAATGCTCTTTTAGCGTC